TGGATATTCTGTTGCAAGCACTCTGGCAAGTTATCTCTGTTTGCTGTGTCTTATCAGTAAAGGCTTGGCAGGCAGCTACGCAGTTGCTGCCAAGAAATTCATTTGTCTTTGTCTGTGCCGAGTAGTTTTTCAGGCCTCGGCTGACTGGTTGGGGGGTGTGGGTCGGACGGGGGACAGAACAGGAGGAAAGAAAAAAGCTAAAAAGAAAATTTCGGAGCCTACCCTTCCCGAAAAAGAGAAAGCAGATCCAAATTTGGAGCTGGTGGAAGCAGTCTTAAAGCAGACCATAGAATATGTGAGAGAGTCCTTCGAGGAATTAAAAGCCCAGCTGAAGAGGCACCCAAGGTCGGAGGAAGAAGCAGAGGAAAGAGCCAATGGAGAAGAACCAGTGGTGACCGAGGTAGCAGCAGCGGTTGCCCCCCCCCTCAGCATCTCTACAGCGAGTGGACCTCTCCAAAGACCCAGAGAGACCTAGTTGAGGCAGGTCCTTACATATAGTGTTATATGTGTAACACATTGGGTGTAACACAGACTATTAAAATAAATGGCTTTAGGCATTTACTATATGAAAAACACCCCACATCTCACCCTCGTAAACAAATAATTTGTAGCATCAATTTACAGATAGTCCTCATTTAGTGACCACAATTGAGACAATTCAATCATTAAGTGAAGTGATTGCTAATTGAAACCACAACTGGGTTTCCTTTCCTTTGCTTAACAGACTTGCAAATATGAGTAAAGTTATTTTTTTCATCATGTTATAGTTATGAACAGTTGTTGTACAAGGCAGTCACTAAGTGTGGATTACCTGCATTTCAACCTTACTAGGGCAAGCAGCGGTTGTGGGCAATGGTAATTTCCTTCAAAGCTAGCTCAGAGCTCTCACCTGCATTGTGATTATTCTCTGCCTTTGATTTTAAACGCAAAATCAATATTTAATTCAAGCATTTTTGAAAGTACAAATTTGATTGGAGAAATGGCTGTCCAGGGTTGTTTGGACATAATCAAGACTTGCTGGGCATACAGGAAACACTTCTCACTTATTAAAAATGAACCAAACCCTGAATTCGTGTTGCTATTCATTATCTATTCTCTAAGGTCATGGATCTTAGATTCAAAATGGCTACACTTTGGCTGGCATGGGCCCACATTCATGGCAGTTGGTTCTGCCTCTGCACTCATGCTGCAAAAGTATAAATAATGATTTGTTCAAACCTAATACTTTATACTTTATTTGAGCTAACAGGTCAAATCTACATTCAGTCTGGACTAGTGAAAATGCATTGATTTCTGAATTTAATTTTATGTAGCAATGCTAATTTCCTAATAAGCATAGTTAAGTTTGCAGCCTACATTCAGGGAAAACAAAGTAAGATTCTGGCTTGAGCTGTTAACAGGGGAGCCTCCCTACATACTGTAGCTATGTGATTAGTTAGGGATCTGCCCTTAAAGATTTGTTATCAGAATGTTCTACAATTGCTGGTAGCAATAGGCAAGTACGTGCTGTCCCAGCATCTCTTTCTTTGGAAAACTAGCATTTAACAATGGCAGGTGCACTTCTCTTTTGCAAGATCTGCTGACAATGGATTTGTTCCTGCCTTGCCAGCCCATTCAGGCTTTTAGTACACTAGAACAGGAAACCAGTCATATATTCTTCTAGGAAGATAGGTGGGAAACAAAATGTTAAATTCCCAACTTATTCCAAAGGTCAAATCTTCACAAAAGTTGTATGCCTCTCCTATATCTTCTTCTTGGAATCCACTAAACAAGAAAGCAGCATACAAATAATGCAATTGTCTTCAGTAATAGTATCTTAATGTTTTTTCATAAGCTACTGTATGTAAATTAAAGGTGATTTTTATTAAACAAATATTTAATAAAATTATCTACTGCACAAAGAGCTGGGGTGACCTAGCTACAGGACAGGAACACTGTTTATAGTTAATTCAAATCTATACATGCTGTTTGCCTAGATTCACCACTTTTACTATACAAAGCATAATTTGATATAGGCAACTGTTAAGCAAATGTGTAAAGCACCATAAAAACCTTTTATTTTTCCTAAGTTCCCACTGGATTTTATTTTTCATGGTTCAAACATTTCTGGAAATGTTACAGATTACATATAATTCACAGTTACAGAAAACAGCGGGTATGTGATTTTACTTGTCAATTACAGTTCTACTTGCTTAACAAGTGCCCTGCATGGATTTAGGGAATACAAGGACTTCCACAATTCTTGGTAGATCCATGGCAAACATGTAGAGATTTTTAAGAAAAAGATCACCTGATGCAAGAAAATCTTTAAGAGTCTAGATCAGGGGTGTCAAACTCGCCATGTCACGTGATGTATCGTGACGTATCGTGACTTTTTCCCCATTGCTGGAACTGGGGTGGGTGTGATTTCGGCATGACGCATCCGGCCCATGGGCTGGCAGTTTGACACCCCTGGTCTAGATGCTTCACTTTCTAAAATTAGAGATATTAATCAAAACAAAATGACATGCAGTAGAATAATGTTTTTAATTGAGATTGCTTCTACATACTTTCGCATAAATGTTCTAATCGTATTGTATTTTGCTCCAGGGTAGTAAACCATTGGTTGATTATGACAGAACGCACTCCAATAAGGCTTAGAATGATTGCAGTTGCAGTTGTCTTCTCCAGAGATAAGCGTAAAGAACTAAAAAAAAAAGTTATCAAAAAACTTAAAATATAAAATTACAAGTATTCTTGAATAACTTGAATACAACAGGCAAAAACAAGCGCATTCAAATTTTGTCTGCCAAGATGTAATTGTAATTTTCTTATTTGCTCCTCATCAGTAAACTGGGAATTAAATATGGGATATGCAAGCTATGAAAAGCTGTAACATGCTATGTAGATGTTAAGGACATGAGGCAAACATGTAGTTTTGTTCAGAATAAAATGTTCCAACAAAATATGCTGAGTTGGCAAATGCTGTATCAGAACAAAATCTGGACAGTTCAAGTGCTTTTTAAAAAATTTAAAACATTCTCAGAACACACTTTCTGTTTTAAGAATGTAACACTGAAATCCAGCATGATGAGTTTGAAGCTCCATTTGGAGGCTATTTCAATCAAAACAATGGAATAACTAAGTTTTATTCCAATCCTCAAAACAATCAGAACGCATATATTTTGCCTTGGTTTGCAGTATCCAAGGTCAAAACATTTTATTTATTCCATATGGTTTATTCCCAAGGTGTAATAATATAAGGTCATTATGAGAAATTGTTCATAGACTATCTAGTTGTGGTTAAGTCACGGATGAAAATAATATTTTAGTAAGTATAAACAAATAGCAATTTGGTATCCATGACATAATGTACTCAGCTGCATGTTTCCATAATACTTCAATTCTACTCTGGATGATAATAGATCTTCTGGGGTAAATTTGAGGATGCACATGGGGATATGATGGACAGTTCTACTGCAAGTAGCAGCTTATTTGTGTATTGTAGTATATCACCCTGAGATTTCAACTTTGAAAAAATGGAGTGAGAAATTTAACTGTCAACAGAAGCAAACCTAACAGACATGCTTTAAAATAACAGACATGCTTTAAAATAGTAAAAGTATGTTGATAGATATTAAATGCAGGGGGGGACATGATAGCAGTGTTCCAATATCTCAGGGGCTGCCACAAAGAAGAGGGAGTCAAGCTATTCTCCAAGGCGCCTGAAGGTAGGACGAGAAGCAACGGATGGAAACTGATCAAGGAGAGAAGCAACTTAGAACTAAGGAGAAACTTCCTGACAGTTAGAACAATTAACCAATGGAACAACCTGCCTCCAGAAGCGGTGAATGCTCCAACACTGGAAGTTTTTAAGAAGAGACTGGACAGCCATTTTTCTGAAATGGTGTAGGGTTCCTGCCTGAGCAGGGGGTTGGACTCGATGACCTCCAAGGTCCCTTCCAACTACTACTACTACTACTACTACTACTACTACTACTACTACTACTACTACTACTACTACTACTACTACTACTACTTCTTCTTCTTCTTCTTCTTCTTCTTCTTCTTCTTATTATTATTATTATTATTATTATTATTATTATTCTTATTATTCTTATTATTATTATTATTATTATTATTATTATTATGTCAAGGCTTAATGTAACTTTATCTTCAGGTTTATCTTGCATTCCTTTCTCTTGTAAGATATACTGTATGTTGTAACATTTATTTTACCTTCTTCCTTCATCTTGGTTTCTTAAACGTATAAGACTTGGTTTGGAATGCACACGTCCTGAAAGTATAATCAATTGGCATTCTGAGGAAGAAAGAAACAGCAAAGCTGAGGTCATTTCAGGAGCATCTCAAGACATGAGGACAGACTCTTCCTAAGCCATTCTTAAAGATCAAGGAATCTCCAGAATCTCGTGGTATGTAATATCTGGGACATCAGAAGAAGGGAGGACATCTTTTGGCAGAAAGTAACGGAAATGAGCTTGGGCAAATAGAAGGCTATCAAGAGACATGGAAGCAAGAAAGAGAAGAGAAAAAAGGAAAGCTAGGAAAAAAGAGTTAAAATAATGGTCAAAACCAAGGAGCAACATAATTTGGGAGCAACATTTCCTAACAGTAAAACTTGTTCTGTATTTCTGCAAGTCAGAAATTAGCAAACAGAGGTTCCTTTTTCATTTTAGAGAAATAAAGAGGGAAGTCAGCGAAAGTGACAAAGAGAGAAGAGGCAGAAATGGGCAAAGCTAAGGCTAAGCTGCGACAGAACACCACAACACAGTCAATACAGGCAGTCCTTGACTTATGACCATAATTAGAACTGGAATCTTTGGGATTTGACCCATGTTTCTGCAGCCTTTCAGAAGAATTCCACTCTCCTCCATGCATGGAGAGAAATTCCTTCGAGGGGTTGCAGAAACAGGGCTAGATCTTTGGGATCTCACTTCTGTGTCTGTCGCTCTTTGAAGGAGTCCCTTCTCCTTCAAGGCGCTGCAGAAACAGGGCTCAGATCTTTGGGATATGATCTTGCTCCTGAAATCCTTTGGAGGAGTTCTCCTCCCTTTGTGCACAAAGGGATATTCCTTTGAGAGACTGCAGAAATGGGACTCAGACCTTCAGGACTGGACTTCTGTTCTTGTAGACCTTTGGAGGAATTTCTGACTACCTGTGGTGGTAGTGGTGGTGGTGGTGGGAATCTCGGGTACGTGACAGGAGGCATCAGCTTGCAATCTTCCCCAAGAGCTTCCCTCTTGACTGCCAGAGAATGTCTATGGAGATTCTCAGTCATCCAGGTCATGGGACACTTTCTAGAGAAGTTGGCAGAGAAGACTGCAAAGGACGATTACATGATTGCAGGGTGCTTGGCAACTGGTCATAAATGCAAACAGATTGCCAAGCACCCGGACACGATGGGGGGGGGACATAATGTTTTAAGATTGCCGGAAGTGCTTTACATCCTTTCCAAGGATGCTGTACTTTTGGGCTCTTGTTAAACAACTAGCCATAAGTTGAGGACTACCTGTATGGTATAGGAACATTGACAATAGACCCAGGAATAACATAATAATAATACATTCTACAAAGAAAAAGGAAAGCGCCTTTTCAGGCTTAAGTGAATCACCTGGGATGTTCATAGCAACTAGCTTGTCAAGTGCTACGTGGGAGAGGAATCTTGCCATTGCAGAGAAAAAAAGCATACTGCAGTTATTCAATATGTATTCCCATTCTATGTAACTGCAGGGGGAGAAAAGTCAAAATTTAATTTTAACATTATTTTCTATTTAGAGGGAAAACCACAACAAAGTGTGTTAGTACTACAACAAATGCAACCTTCATTGCAGGGATCTCTCTCCCCCCTCCCTCCCCCCTCTAGCACCTTTCTTGGCAAGATTTCAAAATGGTCTGCCATTGTGTTCTTCCTAGGGCTAAGAAAGAGTGACTGGCCCAAGGCCACCCAGTTGCCTTCGTGCATAGAATTCACAGTCTCCTAGCTATGCCAAATTGTTTACTCCAGCTAGTCTAGAATACTTCTACAGCTAATATGGGACGGAAAACAATTTATAATTTAATTTTTACAGATGTCATAGAATATCAGCATTAGAGATGGACATACTTAAAACATTATTTGGATTGGTTTCTACAGTATATTATTTCAATTAGTTTTCTTAAGGTCCACTTCAGTCCTTTTGTTATGAAAGACTGCAGCACTCTGGTTAAAAAGTATCATAAAGTATCCTGAATCCTATTCATTTCAACATGAGTTTTGAAAAAATGTAAACTTTAATTGATTTAAAATATCGTGATTCTTTCCATTAAAAATGTACTATATTCTTTTAAGATTAAAAAAAATTCTGAAAAATCTCTTAGGGGTTCACATATGTATACAAACTTCTTTAATTCTAAAATCAACAGACAAATAAAAATGTTGAATTTATCCTTTTTCAAATATTGCAATCTAATTCTCTATTTAAAAATGGATAAAAGGAAAAAGATTGTTTGAAAGTGGAAATATTGGAATTGTGTTCTAGCTTTACAACTCCTGGTGGTGGAATTGCAAAGAATGAGATTAGGAAAAGGATACTTTACACATGGGCAAAAGCCTGCACTGTACACTATCTGGTGCATTTTACTAATGTTTTGCTCTGATTTATTAACTGTGGTTCTATAAAAGAGTGAGAAATAGAACTACAGAGAGCAAGAGCAATCTGTCTTCATGAAAATAATATGAGGCAGATTATCATGGAAAATTCTTCCTAAACATATCTGTTAGGGTAAACTGCAAACAAAAATGCATGACTGTAAAAATTTGCCCTTCAAATATATATTTTAATGCAAACCTTTAAAAAACCCTCAGGTTTTCAGCAAATGAAACTAGACAGATTCACAAAAATGAAAAAAAAATGGGAATGAACAGAAATGAATTCATCTATTCCTAATGAACATACATACCTTGGAAAGTGTATATCACCCATTAAGCCTTCCCAACGAATGGTAAATGGCTCAAATTTTTCTAGGATTGCTCTAAAATTGTTTGCAGGATTTTCCAATTCTATATAATTTTTTTTAAAAAAAGGTATTAGCATTTGTTAGACTTTCCAACTCTAAATAGTTGTTAACTAAAAATATAATAAAGGCAGGCTTGTAAATACAGTAAGCATGCAAAAATTACATCTCCAATACTTTTCACTAAGTAGCCTGCACAAAGATTTATAATGCTTGATTCCATACTGGATAGCAATAAACAGAAGTTGTAAACATCACTTTGCCCACATTATAATAAGTGTAAACCAGGGTAAAGCAGTCAGGAAATATAACCAGATCAGCTAAATCTACTTTATTGTAAGGCTTCATTAACAAAACCTTGCAAATCTGAAGGTACAAAATTTCCAGCACTTTAAACAATCTGACCAATCAGGGCAGGTCCTTAAGTTTCTTTCTCTGACCCATTAAGCCCTTGCGGCTCTCCCCCTCCACTCTTGTCTGATTTTTTCCCCTAAGCAGCATCTTTTCCCTCATCCCCCAAGGTCATGCACACATTTTGTTACAGGGGGAACTTGATACAGAGAATTGCTAGTCATCTACTGGAATGTAATATAAGCGTGTAATACACTACTTATTCTTATTATACTGGGGCGGGATGTAAGAATGACTATTAATTTTTAACATCAGTCTTAGCTTTGCTGCCTATAAAAGTGATTTCTATGATGTTGGAAAAAGAAAACACAAAGCATAAAACAGGCTGATTTCTCATGGTTAAACAAGTTTACCAGCCTTACCATCTTCTCTGCCATCATTATATGGATCCACAATATCTGAGACAAAAAATTAAGAATGTGTAACCGACGTGAGAAATGGGCCATGCTGAACTGGCCTGTTCTATCATGCTCCCTACTTATAAGATATCCTCAGTCATAATATTGCAGGAAAATAGGCCCACTGGGTTTGAAGAACAGGCCAACAGTGAGTAAGTATCTCTTTCAAAGAAATATTATCAGCACCCCAACGTATCTAAATGTAATTTTGTCAGTACCATCATATTTCTGATTCTCTTCTCCCCCTCCGTGGCCCCCAAATCCTCTTTGTTCTTTACTGCTTTCTAGTAATGTGGATCAGCAGATTCCCATTCCACATGCCCCGGCTGTTCTCCCATCATGAAATGGCCTCCTTTCATATCCTGGTAACAGAAATTCACTTCTCTTTTTCTATTATTCAAAATTCAAAAATAACTCCTCACATTTATGCCTCCTTATCTGGGGAATATGCCTAGCAAACATTCACTTGAACTTTGTAACTTCACCTTAATTCTAAATTTATTCCTGTTGAGATTCAAGAAGGAAGCTTAAAATGATAATCTTTGGCTGTACATAATGGGCTGCTATTATTATATTTTACCAGCTGATTGTGTTTTCCATAGCGGAATATTTTATAGTTTTGTTTTTATTTATTGCATGCTATCCATATGATTGGTGTATACACAAATAGTATAAGATAACAAACATACATGTAGTATGAGGAACATCCTTGCATTTCTGCAGTTGCCATTGGTAAGTCAGACATTTTGCTCTATTAAGGGTATATTTTCTTAGCTCTGAAATTTGATTTAATTCCATCCATCCATCCATCCTAGAAACTCAAGGTAACATATCTTGTGGGAACCTTATTTACGAAAGTTCTATGAAAAACTCATTCTTTGGATAGTCTGATAAACAGCTATTTTTAAAGGATACATTTCACATTGTGGACATCAATGGAAATACAGTTGGGTGGCAGAATATGGTTAAGAGCTGGCTGTTTTATAATAAGAAACAGTTTAATTTGGCATGCAACAACCCCACCTCTGAAAAAAACAACTTCTCTAAACAAAAAACCTACATTTGAAATTCAAATAACACTGAGCTATTTTATTAATCTAAGTGAACATAATTTTATGCTTCTCCAGAGGTTTTTCAATATGCGAGAAAGGACACAAATTTTTTTTCTTGATGAATTTTCTCCAAAGACATCACATTTACCTAGAGTTATACAGCTGGCAGGAGTGAAGAGAAAAGGCCGAAGATGGGCAAAACCTCATGAAGAACTGAGCTGAGTGAGAGAAATTATATGTTTCTCTCAAGTGATTTTCAGTTGTATCTCCATTTTTCCTGCTCTTTATGAAACACACATCTACTGAAAATGTCTAATTAATGCTCTAAATAGGAAATTTAAAAAAAAACACATAAAAATGTTTACATGTACATTTTTTTTCCTGAACGTGACCCATAAGAATTCAGCTGAAAAATCAGACTTCCTTTTTTTCTTTGTTACAGGTAGTCCTCATTTAACGACAACTCACTTAGTGACCGTTTGAAGTTACAACAGCACTGAACAAGGGGGACTTGTGAGTGGTTCTTAAAGTTGCAGCTGTCATGGTGTCTCTGCAATTCTGAGATCACAATTCAGATGCTTGGCAACTGGCTCGCAATTATGGCGCCCTATAGTCTCATGATCAATATTTATGATCTTCACTGGTGGCTTCTGACAAGCAAAGGCAATGAGGAAACTGGCAGGAGGTTGTAAATGGTGATTATGCCACCAGATGGGACATTGCAACCAGGCAGGATTCACCTAATGGGAGAAACTGGGACTGCCGAAATTGCCATACTAAATTGACTAATGTCAGGTTCAAGAATCCAGGGGCCAGGATAGAATTCAAAGTACGGGTAGTCCTTGAGTTATGACCACAATTGAGCCCAAAATTTCTGTTGTTAAGCCTGACAGCTGTTAAGTGAAATTTGCCCCATTTTATGACCTTTCTTACCACCATTGTTAAGTGAATCACTGCAGTGGTTAAATTAGTAATACGGTTGTTAAATGAATCTGGCTTCTCCATTGACTTTGCTCATTAGGAAGTCTCAAAAGGTGACCCTGGGACACTGCAACCGTCATAAATATGAGTCAGTTGCCAAGCGTCTGAACTTTGATCACATGACCACGAGGCTGCTACAACAGTCGTAAGTGTGGAAAACTTTTTTCAGTGACGTTGTAACTTTGAATGGTCACTAAAGGAACTGTTGTAAGTCGAGGGCTACCTGTGCTATGAGTTTATTTCATGCTACCAATACACAGGAATCTGATCTACTAATGGTCAAGGCAAATTGGCATTAGGTAAGAGTCAACGGAATTCAGGGGAGCTGGACTTAGGTCTCTTGTAGGAGCATAGCAACTCCAAACTAATGATATATTATACTTGCTAGCCCTGCCCTGTTCTTGCGTGGTGCAGTGCCTTGTTTCTGTGCCCGGCGGTGCGGTGGTGGCCATTTTTGCGCCTTGCAGCACGACAGCGGCTCGTTTTTGTGCCCCATGGTGCGGAGGTGCCCCGTTTTTGTGCCCTGCGGCACAGCAGTGGCCAATTTCTGCACCTCACAGCACAGTGGCATCCATTTTTGCACCTTGCAGTGTGGCGGTGGCCCATTTTTGCACCCCACATGGTGGCAGCACGTTTTCGTGCCCCAAGATGCGGCAATGTCCCATATTCACGCCCCACAGCTGCAGCGCTAGCGCAAGTGAGGGTGTGTGTGTGCACATGTGCGCACACTGGCCAGCCTGTCCTGCGGCCCAGTGGCCACCAGGCCATGGCTCACTACTGGCCCATGGCCCACAGGTTGGGGACCCCTGCACTAAGTCTAGTTCTCCCCCTCCCCAAAGTCAGCTGACTCTTATCTGACTGGGAAAAATGCAACTGCCCATTATTTCAGATTCTACTGTTGAGGGATTCTTGGGTAGAGGAAGAATAGTTTTTGTCTTTTTGTCTGGAATTTGTCTAGATTACATTGAAACTCCTAGATTGATATTGCTCTAATAGGTGATTTCTTTGGATGAGATGAAACCAGTTTAGCAAAATAGTTTACTAGTAACTTGTACTTTTCACACAGTTCCAAAGTGCATTTTTGATCAATACTGAGATTTTCACAAATAGTCTTATGAACTTTTATTGCTACATAGATCTAATATGACAAAACCAAGGAGCTAAGAAAACATGTAACTACAACACTAGTATGTATACTCAAAATAAAAAAAAACTATTAATAAAACAAATGTAATTGTCTTGGATATTGATGATGGCATGAAGATATTAGTTAAGCATTTCAGGGAAACTCTGCAGAATATATACTTACTATTTTTGTACCTCTTCTTTGTTCACTTTTTGGTCTTGTACTCTTTTTCCCCTCACTATCTATAAGCATTAAAAGCACCATGTAAATAAACTGCTTTTCTCTGTAGACCATGCATGCTCTTTATTCTTGTATTTCAACAGCACTATTAAGTAATATTAATAAATCAATAAACAATTTATCCATTTATTTGTTTATCCATTTAACTTGACAAGCATACTTCTTTTGTTTCTTTCTTTCTTTATTTTAGGATGGATCTCTTGACTAAGAAATCTAAAAAGTTTGGGAAATCATTCAGATAAATATAAAGCTTGCATTGCTGCCTCAGTTCCCATATCAACTTTTTAAAATTTAGCACATACCATTTCAGCACTGCCTCACAGACTGACTAGATTCTCTATCAGCATCAGAAGAAAGCAAGATCTGAAATGCTAGCCTTATTTAGGTAGTCTATCTGTACAGAGGATGTAAACATCTGAAAAGCGTATGAGACATGAAAGAGATCTCTGCATATGCTCTGGTCTCTTAGTTCTTCTTTATGCTGAGCAGAGTTCTGAAAGGACCATCTTGTCATGCTGCAAGTTCTACTTACATAATAATAATCAGAATAGAGCTGAAAGGGACTTTGGAGGTCTTCTAGTCAAGCCCCCTGCTCAAGCAAGAGTCCCTATATCATTTCAGACAGTCCAGTCTCTTCTTAAAAACCTTGAGTGATGAAGTACCCACAACGTCTGAAGGCAAAACGTCTGGTTAATTGTGAATCTCTTTTCAGACCTTTCTGCTCAATCCAGCATTGCTGGAAAATGGGAAGGCTAACCTGAGATACCATAAATTAGGACAGGATGCTCAAACCTAATTGCACAAATTAACACCAGTGGTCATGGAGAAAGACTTGAATAGGATTTCTGGACTGCTGTACTTAAACTTCAACAAGAAGTTTTGATTATATTTTCAAATGTTTGTTAACATAGCCATACCTCCTTCGTCTTTACGTATCCGATTGTAGACCATTTGGAGAGAGAAATCTCTGGACAGAGAACTTATTGCATCATCTTGGAAAATAGTTAGAGCTTCCAAAGGTAATTCCAGAAGATCTTTATCTGCCAATAGAATCACACACTCTCCTATGTCTTCAGCACCTGATGATAACAAGAAAAATTAGATCAACTACAAACATATACAAAGGCATTAAGAATAAAATCTCTTTTGACATTTTCCTTTCTCTTCCAATGAAATAATTTTGTTTTCATCCTTAAATTTTTAACCCTGTCTGATAAGCTCTGGGATATAGTATATGTTACAAGCTACAAAACAATTGGTGGGATTCAATCAGTTCACACCACTTCGGCAGAACCGGTAGCTAATTTTTTGTTGCCTAGGCCCAGAATGGACTTCCGGAAGCAGCATCCACATCCACACAGAGAACCGGTTGTTCACATATTTGAATCCCACCACTGTACAAACCTCTTTATTTGGAGAGGTTCAATAACAAGTATTTAATTAACTATGTGGCAACTTTTCCTTACCCACCTAAAAGTAACATCTGTATTCAGAAACAATTTTTGAATTGAAGCAAACAATTTTTAGTTTTATTTTAGTGAGCATTATCAAATCTGAATATATAACTTGACTTCAGTTTCTTCTGTCTTCATATTATTAAATATTATTAGGAGCACACAACCTTAAATTAAGGCAATCTTATAGTGTATTGTTGTTCAAACTTGTAATTCATCGGAAAACTGGGATTAAAACAACCTTGTGGGATACTTAATTTCTTTGAATCAGAATTTTGGCTAGGAGAAAAAGGAGTAATAATGTTTCTAATCTCTTTTCTTGTCAGACAGATGAATACAACAGAAGGGTAAGGATGGTGAACCTGTGGCTGCTCTTTTAAACCAAATTTCAGCTACTGAACGGTTCAAAAAGAATCAATCCAGGCGTAAATTGTAAATAACATGCAAATTTGAAAACAATCATTTTTATTTAAATTTAAATGCCCCAAATATGCTTTGAAAGTTAAGACATACCTTGACTTGATGTGCTTTTAGTTTTAGTTTTCCCTGAATCATCTGCCTTAGTTTTCCCTGGACTACCTTTTCTGGTTTTTGCTGAGTCAGCTGGAGACAGTGCTGGACTCTGGCGTCTAAGGAGATATAAACAGCAGAACACATCTTTACAATATTAAACAGGATATAATTTTTAAAGAGCACTAGTGCCATCCATCCATCCATCCCAGAGATTAAACCCTAGGTTTTTTCCTCCCACCTCTTCAAATCGATATAAATTTGAAACCTGAAGTCTTGCATGTTTACAAAACATTTCTATCTGGCTAGAGTCTCATTATTTCCCATCTTGCAAGCTTCAACCTTATACCATCTTCCTGTCTATTTTCTCCATTCCCTCTTGTTGTGTTCTTTTGTATTCCCCCCCCTTAATCCCCTATGCGCATCCTGATCACCCATTAAGGGTGATTGCCCTTCTCCATTGATCACCCATTAAGGGTGATTGCCCTTCTCCATCTGCATACAGTTTCATGCCCGTTGCTGGTTGGCTAACTAGCAACGGGGTCTTACCAGCCAATGGAATTGTGTGATTACAAGCC